CATCGTGATAGAATCGCATCATGGCCTGTGAATCGTGATTCGAATCGAATCGTGACTTCTTTGGCAATACCCACCCCTTCTTGTAGCAGACTGTAGCTGCGACTTCATGTAGCTCTCTTTCAACAACTGGTTTCTTTCTGGTTCCCTCGATGTTTGGGAAGATTTGTGAAGACTAATAATAGTTTTCTTATCAACAGATTTGTTCTGCTGATAGCCAAACTTTAGCTCCTCCAGAGTTACCATGAGCTTCTTTCTGCTGCTTGACTAATGCAGTTCTTGTCCACCCTGTCAGCTTAGGCAGACAGCCATTACTTGGTCGGTTTACAGTTGTGGCATACATGCTATTTGTATAGAATATAAACACTTGCAAAGCAGCCTGGAGTGACATAAACTGACACCTTGTACGTCTGTGTGTCTGTTTGTTTATGCCTAGTATGTTCTCTTATACTGTGAATGGACCCATTCAGAATTTTAGAGGTGATCTTTATTAGGTCACCCTGCAGAAGACTAACTATAGAGCCAGCAGTGTCAGTGCTGTTGCGCCAAACTGCTGCAGCAACGCGCAAAAACAGATGGAGGGCACATACACCTCTGGGAATCTCAGGAAGCAGCGAGGCAGATAGGGACAGTGGTACAAAGAAAAATACAGGAAGCAGACTGGTGGCTTATATCAGAGTGAATAAATCTATGAGAAATACAGTAGTTACTATTTCTTTAGTAATAAAGAGTGGCATATCAAATTTAGATTTCTTTTTTTTTTTCTAATGTGCTTTTATCTTATTAGCATTATTTCACTTTAGAATCATAGGCAAATTTATTTGTATAGCACAATTCAATACAAAGACAATGCAAAAAGCTTTACATGATTAAAATATAGGAAAATAAAACAGAATCAAAGCAAGTAGGAAAAAAAAAAAATTAATTAAATAAAAAAAATAAAAAAAATGCAGAAACAGAAAAGGAATGTTAAAAACAGTTGGACTAAAGAAAATAAAGCATTATTTCACTTTAGAATCATATTTAACTATAGTTTTAATGGCAAAATAACTTCAAACTTCTTACCTTCTCAGTCTTTTTTATTTAAACTCTAGGCATCATTAACTTATCCCATTTAGTTGATATTGTCGATATTTATTTCTTCTTACATTTTTCCTGGGAGACCTTTAATCAGAATACAAAAACAGTTAAATTTCCGGCTATTCAGCTCAGCTACACTCTCCAAATTTTATTTATAAAACTGAATTGTGGATTTTGCATTATAGTTAAATTTCTAAATGCATCTTTAAATGTAATTGTTTGTGTTTGTGTGCAGCGTCTGAGGCGGAGTCTCCACCCTGGCCTTCTTAGGAGGATTTCCTCCACATGGACAACCACCACCTCTGCCACAGGAATGCCCACCATTGAACCTGGACCTGTTCGAAGGGACCGCAGCGCCAGCATTAAACCATACCATGAAACACTCATTTGCAGGTACCCTAAACAATAACGAATAACCACAACTAATTATTGTTTCTTCTTTTTTCATAAATCCAATGTCTTTTTTTCTGCCTTTTGGTTTGATAACATTTGAAGGTATGTTGTGCTCAATTAATAATGCTAAAAATTAGGGATGCACGATATAATCGGCCCCCTATCAGTATCGGCCTTAAAAC